ACACACACAAACGAACACACACATAAATACATACATACATACATACATACATACATACATACATACATACATACATACATACATACATACATACATACATACATACATACATACATACATACATACATACATACATACATACATACATACATACATACATACATACATACATACATGCACGCACAGATGCACACAAGCACCCACCAGCGCGCAAACACACGGACACGCAAGCAAAAAGCTGCGGCATGCGCGCACCTCATCCGGAAGCGGGAGCGACGGGCGCCCATCCGGCGCCACGATGCGCAGCATCCACGACGCCAGCAGGCGGTACAGGGCGATGGCCTCTGACAGGACCGCCTCGTCCTGGGGTGGGGGTGGGGGTGGAGCAGGGGGTTGCCAGGTCTTGGGGGGTTTGTGCGCGCGCATGGGTGTATGTGTGTGTGTGTGTGTGTGTGTGCGCGCACACATGAGTACGTGTATACATGTGTGATTTTCTGTGTGTGTGTGCGCGCGTGTGCGGGCCTGTGTGCGTGCGGGCCTGTGTGCGTGCGTGCCTGTGTGCGTGCTTGCTTGCGTGCGTGCTTGCGTGCGTGCGTGTGTGTGTGTGCGTGTGTGTGTGTGTAAGCGCGCGCGTGTGTGCGCGCGTGCTTGTGTGTGTGTGTGTGTGTGTGTGTGTGTAGCTGAGTGCAATGTGTGTTTGTGTGTGCGCTCATGCATGCGTGCCGTGTGTGATTGTTTGGCAGAACAGAGGGGCGCCATCGGCTATGACCACATAGCAAGGGGAAGCAGGTGGCGTGCGGCGCGTGCCTGAGGCGGCTGGGTCGTCAGCCACTGCCTGAAGATGACCCAGCCGGCCAGGCCACGCCCTGGGCTCACGACCTCACACAGCCTCATCGACTGTTCATTTGAGGGGCGCGCCTGAGTAGACGCAGGACCCCGCCAGCCAGTGCCCCACCCCCACCCCCCAGCAGGACTCCAGGTGCGACGCACACGCCTCAACCGCATGCAGAAATGCAAAACGACGATGGGTCGAGAAGCGCAAGCCAACGGACAAGCGCCGGGGTAAGGGCTCCGAGCCTTCAGCCCAGGGGCGAGATTTTTAGCCCCGGCTGGGCGACCCAAGCGGGGGCCGCGCGTCAGGGAGGGCACTCACCAGCAGCACCGTCTCCAGCGCGAGCGCGTGCCCCTGCACCGCGCCCACGTACGCCTTGTGCCGCGCGAGCTCGGCGCGCGCGGGCACCTGCTGGTGCGGCGGCAGGCTGCGCGGGTGGGGGGC